CAACTAGGTCGTAAAAGATTACGGCTGTGACATTACCCTCCTTCAACGCTCTAAACTTCGACGAAGCCAGCGTACCCAATACACCTACGACGCGCTACAGGGCGCTACCACCTTCATCGTTCGTCCACGAAGAGACGACTTGGCTCTCCCGAAGTGACAACGGTTGTGTTTAACTACACCCCCCTTGTTCAAAGTCGCCCACCCCCAAAGGCCACTTTTAACAACTTTCTAATCATAATAAGATTGAGAAATATAAAAAACGAAAACATTAATACGTTGATTGCGTGGTACAAATTTTCAAATGTTGTGCTACTCATTAACAAAAAAACTTTTAGTACAATACTATGACAAAGTTTTTCATTTTTTGATGCAGCGGGCCATCATAACTTGAAGCAAAATGACCTAGCTTTGAGGTCAAATGACACGAGGAAAAATTTCAGCTTCGATAGCTTAAATAAAACTTTTGATTAGGTGAAATGACAAAATTTTAGTCGAAGTGACATAGTTTATAGACAGAATGTCATGAAAAAAGATTTATAAGTTACGATGATTTGAACAAAATCCTTAATTAGGCGAAACGTCACAATTTTAGGCATAATGACGCAGCATTCTGGCGAAATGTCATAAGAGAAAGTTTATAAGATTTGCTAGTTTAAACGAGTCTTTTGATTTGTCAAAATGTCATTAAAATTAGTCAAAATGATATACATTTTAGGCAACATGTCAAAAATTAAGCGTTGTGTCATGCATTAGATGATTAGACAATTTGGCGAAATATCAACACCCTGATTAAGCATTAAAGCTTTGAGTAATATTCTGCAACTAGATTGTAGGTAAGTGCCTAAATAGGTTTTTCTTTACATCTATGATCGTACAACGTCGGATTAGTCGTTTCTAGCTCTAGAAAACATAACCTCTAACAGTAATAAACTCCTCAAGTTAAAAAAAATAAAATAGTAAGAAATCAGACGTTTTCCTGCCAATTAAATGTATAAGGTCCCTTTATTGCTGCAAAACATGGTTTGATATATTACAGGTACTCGAACAGACTGCCCTAATTTTTTTCAGAATAAGGGAACCTAACATTATCCCGTAAGAGTAATATTACTACAAAAAATAGAGTATCATCTGTTTTTATTATTAATAAGCCATTAGATGGCCCTAGATTGTTCTCATAGTTTTTTTGCAGTCTTTGTATCACATTACATCCATATAGTGATTTGGTGCTCTCGAAAACGTGACCTCAATTGGTTATGTATTCTTTGAGTAAGAAAAAAGTTAAAAATGAGAAGTTTTATAGTAACATGAACTCATTTAGTGCAAAACATGGTTAAATACATTTGAAGCGTTTAAACAGACAACCCTAATTTTTTTCAGAGTTAAGAAACCTAACTTTGTTCTGCAAAACGACAATTACTTCGAGGAAATCGAGTATTTTCTAATTTTATCAATAATAATAAGCCATTAGGTGGCCCCAGAGGGTTCTCATAATTTTATTTAATGCCTTTGTATAACACTACACTTATCCAGCAATTTTTGGCTCTTGGAAACATTATCTTGATTGATTATGTAGTCTTTAAGTTAGAGAAACGTTAAAAATACGTTTTTTTACGGTATTATAAACTTTTTGCTTTTGTTTTATAGGGTCATTGACAACAAAAACAAATATTGTTTTCCGTTTCTTTGATGGGCTCCAACGTTTAAAGCTTTAAACACATTTATAGTAACCCTTTCACATTTGTTTATGGGGTATTATTGGCATCAAAAACCAAATAAAATTTATTTCGGATTTTTGTTGGCATTCAACGTTTACAACTTCAAAAACACGAAGAACGCTTGTTGGTTAAGGTTAGGCAAGCGCTTGCGAGAATCTCTTGAGCCACTGAGGACCTGAAGCCTTTCTCTTTAGCACCCCTCCTTTTTCCTGAAGGCACTTAAAGACGATCTCCGGGTATAGTAGTTGTCATAAGCATTTGCTGAAATTGAAATATGTGTGAAATGAAAGTGTTATTTACACGTGTGCAAAATTTCAACAGGTGTTTCGTTAATAAATTGCGAACTATTCACTTTTAAAGATTGTCAATTTAACAGTGCAGTATATCTATGGTTATAATATTGGCAAAAAAAACGCATACTTTCGAGCATAACTTAATGAATTTTCGCAGTATTTTTCCCAAAAAATTGTATGTAATAAACAAATTCCTAAGGAAAAAAATGAGTACAAGTCTTATAGGCCTTTCCATATCAATTAATGAGTATCAATAATTTTAATAACTCCTCATCTGGCCTCTGCCGAGAGAGAAGCAGACCCCCCAAGCAACTTGGCAACACTGCAGCATCCTGTTACTTACTGAGTACAGAACAGTCAGACGACGGTCACGAAAAATGGCCCAACTCAAATTATCAAACAACTGATTTTCAATGTCAAGTACAATCATGAGATTTTGCAATACTGTTACATCACAAGTACTTAGCGTCGTTAAAATTGGCAGAAAGTCTCTATACTCGCCTCGCGGCACCTAACCCTAACGGCCAGAGTACATATATATATATAGTAAGATCGATGGTGAGATGTTGCAGTGTCGCCAAGTTTCTTATGTGTCTGCGCATCGTCTGCTCATGCAACGAAAAAGAGATTCTCAACTTACATCAATTTTGATTGAGAACCACTGGACCCGGAGATCGTTCTTAAGGAGGCTCCTACGACTACTGCTGAGGTCAAAGACAAACAAAAAATAAAGTTTTGTTTTTCAATAAACAAATGAGTCTGAAAATCATTACGATATTTTTAATAACGTATGAAGTGGGAAAAATGATATTTATGTCTGTAGTTTAACTTTGTACGAAAAATTAATTATTGTTTTGACCAGTCTAGTGTATACGAGGGTACACCACCAGACCAGACCACCTGTGTTGGTGTAGTATAGCGATGTAATATATAGGTATATGGTATATATATCTATGTCGTGAACAAGTACGTCTGCTACCCACGTGACCTCCTGACCTCCCGAACACTATTAATTTATTTCCATCACAAATATCTCGCTAAAATGGTCCTTTACCCACTATTTTTAATACAGCATATTACAGAGGAAGACTTCATCTACAAAACGTATATATTCAGTCTGCTGGGACATTTAATTTAGGTTCATTATAAACGAAAACAAATTGTTTTTCACGCTGNTTTTAACATATTCATTGAAAATTGAGAAGATAAATGATTTATTTTAGTCACTAACCTGTAAATACTGCAATGAATCTCTAAACATTGCAAACGATAATTGGAATCGCAGGTGTTTCAAGAAATTATCAAGTGAATATGTCTTGGTATCAAATGATAGAATTGAAGTTTTTCCAAGTGATTTATTAACAAAACGCGATGTATTAAGAGCAATGTTTTGATTTTATTTTTTAGTGCAATCTTGTCGTAAGTATTAGCATTTTTTTCAATAACACTAAAATAATGTTTTTTAAGTTAAAAGATGTTAGGTGCATCGTTTCAGTTCTATTCGCAGTCAAACAATATAATTTTTTTCAATTAATAATACAAAGTGGTACTTCAACTTGTAAAACGTTAACGAGCGACCAATCAAAATTATACCGCCAACGTGATTTCACGAGCTTTAGTCTGTCAGTCTCGGGACTTGAGGACTCCCATATATATATATATGCTGATTCTCGCCAGAAGTCGGAGGAAAACTTCGGAGAATGCTTGTTCTTTAGTCAAGTTTGGACGAGCGCGGATTGCTGACGTACGCCTAATCTCGGTCGCCAAACATACCTTGAGTTACTTTGACTGTGTTCGGAAATGATACGTTGGTTGAGTTTCTGGTTGGTACCTACCCCGACCCAGCTCAACTAAGTGACCGTTTATTTGCACGTGTAAACTAAAGTTAATCAACTGATCACGTTTCACTTTTAAAGCGCTTCAAGTGCACCAAAACGTGATCAGCTGATTAATTTTGGCTTTTATGTGCGAATACACGGTCAGTTGGTTGAGCCGGGTTGGAGGTTGGTACCAACCAAAAACTTAACCAACGTATTATTTCCGAACAGAGCCTTTGAGGCTTGGCCACCTGACGAGTAAAGCTGGTAATGTGGGTCACCACACAACGATGTCATGTAGTGGTAGAGCGCTTGCTTTTCACCTGGAGAGCTCAGGTTCGATTCCCCGCTCCGTCCACTTGCAGTACCTCTGTTTTTTTCTTTACATGTCCTGTTCCACTGCAAGCTCCTGATTCATCACATTGTCACCGTGACTATGTTTACCAGTATTAATAAAACGGTCCCATATGAAATGCTCATAATCATATATCTAAATGTAGCATATCGGCGTCCATCAGGTACCCAAGAGCCAAATGAATTGCAAATAGCAACGATGTCATATCTTTTTTTAAAACCTTTCTTCGAATTTTTTTCAGTAGAACTACTTTATCAGTGGATTGTTGCAAAATTCAGTGTACTGTTTACTTATAAAATTTCCTGTGACGAAAAAAAATAAGCAAAGATTCATTTATCTGATTTCATTAAAACTGCGTTTGTAGCAATTTTTCCATAAGCGTACATGTGACAATGGCTACCTTTAAAAATTTAATAATATGAAAACAAAATAAATAACGACTAAGAATTCAACCTAGTGTATTAAAACAACAGTGTGAAAGTCTGGTTCACGTTTTAATAAAATTCATTACAGGAAACTATCAGTATGGAACGTCCGTAAAACATATTTTTGGCTTGTAACGGCATTAAGCGACGAAGCAGTTTTAGAGAGAAAAATTATAGATAATCCAGAAGCCATATTTCAGCAGCAAAGCTGTAAAATACTTAATTTTAAATTTAGAATCCCTAAAATTACCGAGACATGCACTCCTGTAGATAATAAAGTTACATAATATTATCCACTTCCAGAAGTATATTGCACTTAATTTAATGTTCCTCAACCTACTGCTATGAAGGCACCTGGTGGAATTACATTCATTAAAAATAAGAAAAAGTTGTACTTGAATTAATGACGCTTCCCCAGCAGCCAATAAGTTTAAAGTAGACAGTAACATCCATCCATTGCTTGATTCTTCGCTATTTTCTATTTCTAGAAACTTTACAATTGCACAACTAGCGATTTCCAAGTTTTGATTGTTTGCTCTCTTACAAATTTCAGAGACCATGAGTCTAGACACTTCTCTAGTGAAAGAAAAGATATCCCAAAATTTGTCATTCATATCTGCAGATGGACTAGTACCAAACACCTATCACATTGAAGTTATTGTATAAAAAGCACTAACTTTATACTGTGTACAATTCATTTAATAGATAAATTGGGTGAAAAAAGATTACTTACTTTACAAAATAAAGGTAACATATTGTACAGCTTGTCATCTTTTTCTTCACCTGACAATGATTCAGGGAGATACATGTACTCAGAAAAAAGTTTTCTCAAATGCATTAGGCCAAGAGCAGTATGTTGAAAATTAGTACTTCTTACACAAGTCTCTGAGTTTCGAACAGCAGTCGGATTCATATTAATAGTTGTACTTTCTTCCATCCCATAAATGAAGTTCACAATCAATATTGAGCTGAAAATTATTAGTTTGACTGATTCATTCAGCTGCTTCAATTATATTACACTTTTTTGATACGTTTATTGTTTAATCATAAAAAGTACCAATTCAAAATTAAAACAAGCAAAACATGATCCAAATTAAACTTAGAACTATCAAATACTTAGATCAGAAACAATATAAGTAGGAAAATGATTGACTGAAATAATAAATAAGAAGATAGTAACAATAATAAGAGAAAACACCTTACTAGTAAAATGATATGCTTATAAAGTTAATAAATAAGCTATTCCGTGATTTAACTGTTCGTATGTATGTATTCTGTAGTTATTAGAAAACAGTTTCCCCTCATCATGCAAAACAAAAAAATAAAGCCTCTTAATTAGGCAAAATATGCAAATTCATAGCTATGCTTAAAATTAGACACTTTTATTTCATCAAGTATAAGTGCCTACTACAGAGAGATTACACGTATGTTTACATAAATACTTAATACATATGTCGCAAAGAAAATGAAACGTTAAGTTCGTCATACAATAATCCCGTTCGATTTATTCTTAGGGTGCGTATACATGGGAGTTTCGAAGTCCCGAGAATGACACAAACTACAGACAGCTCGAGAAATCACGTTGGCGGTAAAATGTAAAAAGTATAAGGTGCCTCTTTGATCTCATACCCTGTTTGTATACATAACGAGCTGTTCCTTATGAAATTTAAGTTTGAAGCGTAATAACAGTTGAAATAACATTATTGTGTTATACACCTTGAATAAAAATGAGCAATAGTATCATGACAGTAAGTACAGTAATGTAGTTAAGTCAATTAAATTAATTGAAATTATAATAAATATAAAGTCATAACAACATAACCTTTCCTTAAAAAAGTTTTTTAACATATTCATTGAAAATTGAGAAGATAAATGATTTATTTTAGTCACTAACCTGTAAATACTGCAATGAATCTCTAAACATTGCAAACGATAATTGGAATCGCAGGTGTTTCAAGAAATTATCAAGTGAATATGTCTTGGTATCAAATGATAGAATTGAAGTTTTTCCAAGTGATTTATTAACAAAACGCGATGTATTAAGAGCAATGTTTTGATTTTATTTTTTAGTGCAATCTTGTCGTAAGTATTAGCATTTTTTTCAATAACACTAAAATAATGTTTTTTAAGTTAAAAGATGTTAGGTGCATCGTTTCAGTTCTATTCGCAGTCAAACAATATAATTTTTTTCAATTAATAATACAAAGTGGTACTTCAACTTGTAAAACGTTAACGAGCGACCAATCAAAATTATACCGCCAACGTGATTTCACGAGCTTTAGTCTGTCAGTCTCGGGACTTGAGGACTCCCATACAGACGCACCCTTACTGTAGCCGGCATTGGATATTCAGACCCCTCCGTTTCGTGTCCGTGTAGAAAAATGTTCGAGATTACGAAAAAAAAGACCACTTCCATCAGCTTCCGTACAGATAATTAATCTAGCATGTAAAGGCCTGTTTCCGATTCTGCCCGTGACAGAACGTATCAAAAATTGGAGTTCCGTAGGAATACCTAAGTGCTCGCCAAACAATAATAATCCCGTAAATTACCGTATGCTCCAGGCTGTCCGTCAACGGACGGGGGATAAATCAATCCCGTAAATTACCGTATGCTCGTAGGTGTCCGTCAAGGTACGAGGGATAAATAAATCCCATGAATTACCGTATGCTCGTAGCTGTCCGTCAAGGTACGGGAGATTAATAAATTCCATATATTACCGTATGCTCCAGGCTGTCCGTCAAGGTACGAGGAATAAATAAATTCCGTAAATTACCGTATGCCCATATAGCAGTCCGTCAAGGAACGAAGGATGAAAAAATTCCATTAATTACCGTATGCTCGTGGCTGTCCGTCAAAATACGAAAAATAAATAAATCCCGTATATTACCGAATGACCGTGGCTGTCCGTCGAGGTACGGTGGATAAAAAAATCCCGTAAAATACTGTAAGCCCGTGGCTGCCCATCGAAGTACGGGGAATGAATCAATCCCGTGAATTACCGTATGCTCGTAGCTGTCTGTCAAGGTACGGGGTAGGGATCAATCCCATAAATTACCGTATGCTCGTAGCTGTCTGTCAAGGTACGGGAAATAAATAAATACCGTAAATTACCGTACGCTCATAGCTGTCCATCAAGATATGGGAAATAACTAAATCCAGTAAATTACTGTTAGCCCGTGGCTGTCCGGCTAAGTACGGGGATAAATAAATCCCGTGAATTACCGTATGACAGAGACTGTCCGTCAAGGTACGGTAGATAAAAAAATCGCGTAAATTACTGTAAGCCCGTGGTTGTCCATCGAAGAACGGGGAATAAATCAATCCCGTGAATTACCGTATGCCCGTGGCTGTCCGTCAGAGTAAGGGAAATAAATTAATCCCGTTAATTACCGTATGCTCGTGGCTGTCCGTCAAGGTAAGAGAAATAAATAATTTCCGTAAATTACCGTATGCTCATAGCTGTCCATTAAAGTACGGGAAATAACTATATTCCGTCAATTATTCTTAGCCCATGGCTGTCCGTCAAAGTACGGGAAATAAATAAATCCCGTAAATTACCGTATGACAAAGACTGTCCGTCAAGGTACGGGAGATAAACAAATATCATAAATTACCGTATGCCCGTAGCTAACCGTCAAGGTACCAGGGGATAAAAAATCCCGTAAATTACTGTTAGCCCGTAACTGTCCGCCAAAGTACGGGAAATAAATAAATCCCGTAAATTACCGTATGACAAAAACTGTCCGTCAAGGTGCGGGAGATAAACGAATATCATAAATTACCGTATGCTCGTAGCTATTCGTCAAGGAACAGGGTATAAATAAATCCCGTCAATTAATGTTCGCCCGTGGCTGTCCATCAAAGTACGGAGAATAAATAAATCCCGTAAATTACCGTATGCTCGTAGCTGTCCGTCAAGATACTAGGGATAATTGAATCCCGTAAATTACCGTATGGTCGTAGCTGTCCGTCAAGGCACAAAAATTAATTATTCCCGTGAATTACCGTATGTCCGTGGCTGTCCTTCAAAGTACGGGGAATAAATTAATTACGTTAATTACCGTATGCTCGTAGCTGTCCGTCACGGTACGAGAGATGAATAAATCCCGTGAATTACCGTACGCTCATAGCTGTCCGTCAAGATGTGGGAAATAACTAAATCCAGTAAATTACTGTTAGCCCGTGGCTGTCCGACTAAGTACGGAAAACGAATAAATCACGTTAATTGTCGTGTGCTCGTAGCTATCCGCAAAGGTACGGAAGATAAATAAATCCTGTGAATTACCGTATGCCCGTGGCTATACGTCAAGGTACGGATGATAAATAAATCCCGTAGATTACTGTTAGCCCGTGGCTGTCCGTAAAAGTATGGGAAATAAAAAAATCCCATTTATTACCGTATGCTCGTAGCTGTCCGTCAAGGTACGAGAAATAAATTAATCCCGTAAATTACCGTATGCTCGTAGCTGTCCGTCAATGTACGGGGAATAAATTAATTCCGTTAATTACCGTATGCTCGTAGCTGTCCGTCAAGGTACGAGAAATAAATTAATCCCGTAAATTACCGTATGCTCGTAGCTGTCCCTCAAAGTACGGGAAATGAATCAATCCCATAAATTACCGTATGCTCGTGGCTGTCCGTTAAGGTACGGGGGATGAATAAATTCCGTAATTTACTGTTTGCCCGTGGCTGTCCGTCATAGTACAGGAAATAAATAAATCATGTAAATTACCGTATGCTCGTAGCTGTCCATCAAGAAAAGGAGAAAAAATAAATCCCGTAAATTACCGTATGCCCGTGGCTATACGTCAACGTGCGAAAAATAAATAAATCCTGTGAATTACTGTTAGTCTGTAACTGTCCGTCGAAGTACGGAGGATAAATCAATTTCATAAATTACCGTATGCTCGTGGCTGTTCGTCAAGGTACGGAAAATTGAATAAGTCCCACATATTACCGTATGCCCGTGGCTGTCCGTAAAGGTACGGTGGATAAAAAAATCCCGTGAATTACCGCATAACCGTGGCTGAATGTCAAGAAACAGAAAATAAATTAATCCCGTTAATAACCGTATGCTCGTGGCTGTCCGTCAAAGTACGGAAAATTAATTAATCCCGTTAATAACCGTATGCTCGTGGCTGTCCGTCAAAGTACGGAAAATTAATTAATCCCGTTAATAACCGTATGCTCGTAGCTGTCCGTCAAGGTACGGGAGATTAATAAATTCCGTAAATTACCGTACGCTCGTAGCTGTCCGTCAAGATATGGAAAATAACTAAATCCAGTAAATTACTGTTAGCCAGTGGCTGTCCATCGAAGAACAGGGAATAAATCAATCCCGTGAATTACCGTATGCCCGTGGCTGTCTGTCAAGGTACGGTGGATGAAGACATCCCGTGAATTACCGCATAACCGTGGCTGAATGTCAGGAAACAGAAAATAGATTAATCCCGTTAATTACCGTATGCTCGTAGCTGTTCGTCAAGGTACGGGGAAGTAAAAATCTTTGGCTGTCCGTCATCGTAAGGGGAATTAAAAATCCCGTAAAATACTGTTAGCACGTGGCTGTCCGACTAAGTACGGGGATAAATAAATCCCGTAAATTACCGTATGACAAAGACTGTCCGTCAAGGTACGGTAGGTGAAAAAATCCCGTAAATTACTGTAGGCCCGTGGCTGTCCATCGAAGAACAGGGGATAAATCAATCCTGTGAATTACTGTTAGCCCGTGGCTGTCCGTAAAAGTATGGGAAATAAAAAAATTCCCATCAATTACCGTATGCTCGTAGATGTCTGTCAAGATACGGGGAATTAATTAATCCCGTAAATTACCGTATGTCCGTGGCTGTCCGTCGAAGTACGAGAAATAAATTAATCCCGTTAATTACCGTATGCTCATAGCTGTCCGCAAAGGTACGGAAGATAAATGAATCCTGTGAATTACCGTATGCCCGTAGCTATACGTCAAGGTACGGGAGCTAAATAAATCCCGTAAATTACTGTTAGCCCGTGGCTGTCCGTAAAAGTATAGAAAATAAAAAAATTCCCATCAATTACCGTATGCTCGTAGATGTCTGTCAAGATACGGGGAATTAATTGATCCCGTAAATTACCGTATGTCCGTGGCGGTCTGTCAAAGTACGGGGGATAAATTAATCCCATTTATTACCGTATGCTTGTAGCTGTCCGTCAAGGTACGAGAAATAACTTAATCCCGTAAATTACCGTATGCTTGAAGCTGTCCGTCAAGGTACGGGGAATAAATCAATCCTATAAATTACCGTATGCTCGTGGCTGTCCGTTAAGGTACGGGGGAAGAATAAATTCCGTAATTTACTGTTTGCCCATAGCTGTCCGTCATAGTACAGGAAATAAATAAATCATGTAAATTACCGTATGCTCGTAGCTGTCCAACAAGAAAAGGGGGATGAATAAATCC